GGAATGAGTTCAGACATAAAATATCTGAATGAAATAATCCTTCTAATGAGGTAATAAGGTATAATCCTTATAATGAGATAATTATAACGGGGTAATAAATAAACAAAATTAATACTTAATTCTAGAGTCTAATGTCTTAGAAACAGATTTTCAGCTAATCCATATCTGTATCTCACCTGGCTCTGTGCTTTTGTGTTTTACACTGCTTTTAAAAAGCTCTAACATGAATAGTCCAGAATATCAATTACTTGGAGTTCTTCAAGTATACTGCTATCTCATATTGTTGTGCCTTTGATCATTCACATGGCTCTTTCTGTCTGGAATCTGTTTTATTATAGTGTATGTTTAAAATATTTACTATGCTTAATGCTGGGAACACAATAATGTAGTCTCTAACTCAAGTTTACTTTCCAGTAGTAGAAATGAACCAGATCAGTAGTGAAGACAGTGCAGACAAGGTTGTGGCTGTGGAAGAGGTCCCAAAGAACATGCAAAGGATGCCCTAAATAAGTAAGACTGCTGAAAGGTGAGTACCGATGGCTACGTGGACGCCTTGGAACATATGAGAAACTAGGATTGCAGAGGATACAATGATCAGAATAGAAACATCAAGGTGCACCATGGCTTAAAGCTCTGGAGCACAGCACTTTCAAAAAAACTGTGAACAAGAAGGCAGTGACAAGGTGAGAGGCTAGACAACTGGGTAAGAGTGCTACAGTGGCACTTTCTGCCAGGCTACGGATGTAGATTTTGTAGTCCTTTACGGCACTGAAGACTTTTGAGCAGGGGACTAACATGATCAAATCTGCATTTTTATAAGTACCGAAAGGCAATATACTTAGTAGTTACGACCATGGACTCTAGTCCTGGGGCCCAGATTAAATTCTAGCCACATCACTTCTTATTTGAATATGCTGTATTTGTGTGATACTGGGAAGATTGCTTCAATACCCCCACCTTAATTTGCTCATCTCTACATTAGGGATAATAAGAATTTTATAATATTCAGTAGATCTGAAGAATAAATGAGTGAATATTAGTAAAGTCCTTAGACTAGCACTTGGCACTTGTAAAAATGTTAGCTATGTCTAATGTTTTTTAGTGTGGTAACGTATATTTAACATAAATATATGTGCAGTCATCACTATCATTCTTTTTCAGAACTTCCTTAGCTCCTCCCACTCTACTTTGTTTCTTTTGATTTCTCTAGGTACCTCTTATAAGTGGAATCATACGATAGTTGTCCTTTTGTGTCTGGCTTATTTCACTCAGCATAATTGTGTTCAAGGCTCATACATGTTATAATATGTGTCAGAGTTCCATTCCTTTTTAAAGCAGAATAGTATTCCAATGGATGTATATATCACATTTTGATTATCTAGTCATCTGTTAATACCCATCTGAGTTATTTCCACCATTAGGCTACAGTGAATACTACTGTTATGATCACGAGTATAAATATATCTTTTGGAGACCCTGCTTTCACTTCTTTTGAGTTTATACTCAGAGAGTGAATTATATATACTCAGAGAGGGAATTGCTGCATCATATAGTAACTCTTTTAATTTTTTTTTTGAGTTGGAGTCTCACTCTGTCGCCCAGACTGGAGTGCAGTAGCCGCTCCCGGTCACCGCAGCCTCGACCTGCTGGGCTCCGGCGATCCTTCCACCTCAGCCTTCTGAGTAGCCGGAAATACAGGCACACGCTACCATGCCCAGCTGATTTTTTGATTTATTGTAGAGATGAGGTCTCGCCAAGCTGCCCAGGTGGGTCTCGAACCCGCAGGCTCAGGTAATCCACTCACCTCAGCCTCCCAAAGGCGCGGGATTACAGGCTGAGCCACCGAGCCCGGCTTCTTTTTAATTTTTAAAAAAAATTTTATTTGAAAGATGTGGGGTTCAATTCAGGGTTAAGTATACAAATATTCATTATGCAGGTACTCTTGTTGATGAGGTGAGCCCCTCTTCCCCCACAACCACCAACAGAATCCCACTACTTCCAATCCCACCCCTACACCCCCCAGCAATTTTCCATTACTGACAATACTTTTCTTATGGTATTATGATAGTTTTTCAAGGTCCACCTATGACTGAGAACATGTGATACTCAAGTTCTTTGTTTCTGTGATAGATCACTAAGTTCACCCAAGTTGCTGTAAATTCATAATTTTGTCCTTCTTTATGGCTACGTAATATTTCATTGTGTATATGAGCCATATTTTTTTTTATCCAGTCCTCTTTCAATGGGCAGCATGGTTGGTTCCATGTTTTTGCTATGTTGAACAGTGTTGCAATAAAGTTGCATGTGCAGGTATCTTTTCCAGAGTAATTTGAATTTCCCTGGGTATATTCCCAGCAGGAGTATTGCAGGGTTGTATGGAAGGTCAGTTTTAGGGCCTTTTAGGAATTGTCAAACTTTTTTCCACAGTGGTTGTACTAGCTTACGCTTTCACCAACAGTGTAGAAGTGTTCCCTTTTCCCCACATCCTCTCCAGCATCTCTGATGATGGCCATCTTAACCGGAGTTAGGTGGTATCTCAGTGTGGTTTTAATTTGCATTTCTTTGATGATTAGTGAGACTGAACATTTTTTCATGTATCTGTTGCCTGCTCGTATGTCTTCTTTTGAGAAGTGCCTATTCATCTTTTGCCCACTTTGTAATGGGGCTGTTTTTTCTCTTTGTCTTTGTGTTCCTTGTAGATCCTAGATGTTAGGCCTTTGTAAGATATACAGTTACAAATATTTTTTCCCAGTCAGGGGGTTGTCTCTCTGCTCTCTTGATGGTTTCTTTGGCCTTGCAGAAGTCTGTAGGTTTGATGAGGTCCCACTTGTCTCTCTTATCTCTTATGGCATGGGCACTTTGATCAGGAATTGGTTGCCAATTTCAATTTCCATAAGGGTGTCTCCTGCATTTTCTGAGGTTCTTATAATTGGAGGTTTTACATTTAGGTCTTTGATTCATTTAGAGTTGACTTTTGTGTATGGTGATATGTGGGAGTCTTGTTTTAATCTTCTGCATGTTTTCAGTCAGTTTTCCTGGCACCATTTACTGAATAGGTTCTCTTCTCCCCAGTAATTGGTGGTAGAGGCTTTGTTAAAGATAAGTTGGTTGAGAAATTGAGGTTTTGCTTCTAGAATCTCTATTCCGTTCCATTGGTCTATATGTCTGTTCTTATACCAACACCAGGCTGTTATGATTATTGTAGCTTTATAATAAAGTTTACAGTCTGGGAGTGTGATACCAACTGCTTTGTTTTTCTTTGCCAAGGATTGTTTTAGCTATTATGGTCATTTATGTTTCCCTATGAATTCCTGTATTATCATTTGAGAAGAATACTGCTGGTAATTTAATGGGTATTGCATTAAATCTGTAGATTGTCTTTGGTAGAATCGACATCTTAACAATGTTGATTCTTCCAACCCATGTGCATGGAATATTTTTCCATTTGTTTTTTGTTTGTGTCATCTTTGTTTTCTTTGATCAGTGTTTGTAGCTTTCATTGTTAAGGTCTTTCATGTCTCTGGTTAAGAAGATGCCAAGGTATTTCATTTTTTTGTGTGGCTATTGTGAATGGGACTTTTTATTTAGGTTTCTGTTTGTTTATTGTTGGTGTTTAGAAATAGAACTGTCAGCCGGGCTCAGTGGCTCAGCCTGTAATCCTGCGCCTTTGAGAGGCTGAGGTGAGTGGATTGCCTGAGCCCACAGGTTCATAACCCGCCCGGGGAGCGAGACCTCATCTCTACAATAAATCACAAAATCAGCTGGGCGTGGTAGCGCGTGCCTGTAATTCCGGCTACTTGGAAGGCTGAGGCGGAAGGATCGCCGGAGCCCAGCAGGTCGAGGCTGCGGTGGTCAGGAGCGGCCACTGCACTCTAGTCTGGGCGACAGAGTGAGACTCCAACTCAAAAAAAAAGAACTACAAAACAAAGAAATCCAAGAAGACACAAACAAATGGAAAATGTTTTATGCTTATGGTTAGGAATAGTCAACATTGTTCAAATGTCCATCCCACCAAAGGCAATCTACAGATTCAATGCAATACTCATTAAGTTACAAACATCATTCTTCTCAGACCTGGAAATGACAATACAGAAATTCATATGGAAACATAAATGACCACAAATAGCCAAAGCAATCCTTAGCAAAAGAAACTAAGCAGGAGGTATCACACTTCCAGGCTTCAAACTTTACTATAAGGCTACAGTAATCAAAACAGCCTGGTATTGGTAGAAGAACAGGCACACAGACCAATGGAACAGGATAGCAGTTCTGGAAGCAAAGCTTATGTTCTCACTCATAAGCAGCCCTTGAACAATTATAATACTATAAGAAAAGGATTGGCAGTAGTGGGAAGCTATCAGGGGAGGGGGGCATGGTATTGGCAGTTGAGAGAAGCTGCTACAGGAGGGAGGGACATACCTCATCAACAAGGGTAACTGCATAATCAACGTTTGTATACCTAACCCTGAATTGTACTTTGCATCTTTATAATGGGGGGGAGGAGGAGGGAGGGAGATAGAGAGAGAGAGAGAAAGAAAGAAGTGGTAGAATTTGAATGAGATAATGGAGGCCAAAATAAAGAAGAAAGGATCAAAGCAGCTTTGTGAATGATGAGGTGAGCCCTAAGAAAGGAGTGAAGCACAGGGAGACTCTCGTTTCTGATTTGGGCAAGTATGGGACCTGTCATTCTCAGACACAGGAAATCCTAGAAGGAGCTTGGTTTAGGGAGTACACTGAAACTGTTGTTTTCCTGTCTTCCAAGATACAGATCACAAAACACAGTGTCTAATCACTCTTCCATTACATTAATTTTTATATCTCCATGTCTTACCACGGGTCTCATGCAAGACCATGCCTTTCTTATTTCCATATTCTTAATACCTGTTATGCTAGATGTTTTCTTCTAAGTGTACTGATAAAAAGAGGTGGTAGGGAAAAGAAGAAATGGTACAGCTTCTGAGTGAGGGACAAAAGCACAAATTATAATCAATTTTTTTTACCTGCTTCAGACTCTGGAGGGGAATAAAACTGACCATCAGAAAGACCACCAGGTATAAGCGCTGCCCTCTCTGAAGCATCCTGAACAATCAGGAGTCCTAGAAGAGAAGAAATTCATATGCTGGAAATGATGTCACATTTCTGGTAGAGTCTGGGCAAGATTAGGTAACATAAATTACTGTTATTATTATAAAATACTCTTAGAAAAAGAGGTACTTTGAAAATCTTTCAATAAAAAATGAAGGTTTCATTTATAAACTATGAACTAATACTGTAAGGACAGATAACCAAACAGTTTGAAAAACTGCTTCATGTTACTCATGGAATTCTTTAACGTAATATTTATAGTATTCTTTCTTGGAAATACCTACCTTCCTACAAAAATCAACCACAATATCAAAACCAAAACACAAAGTGAAACAACAACAAAAACAACCCAGTTGGCTCTTAAAAATGGTTGGCAAAAGAAATATCAGATATAAAGTGTATTACATGGACAGCCTTTTATAAATATAAAATGAATAATTAAAAAGACGAAGACATATTTACACAACAAAAAAGTCTCCAAAGAAAAGAAGTAAACACACACACACACACATACAAAGAAGAGAAGGAAGAACGATGTGGATAGCTCCAGAACACTAACACATTAACACATGAAGGCTATCAACACTTGGGTTCTCTTGGCTGAAAGCTGAGTCAATGTTAAGATATTGTGGGAGGAAGCACCAGGCCAGAGAGCAGATGCCACGTATGTGACTAATATATGCCATTGACAAGGAAAATAAATGTTGTTTTTAAAGCTGTCAGTAAATGTGCATTCTGCTTTATCAGTTACTTTCAATTTGCTTTAGTCACACAACCACCCAAGCCTTAGCCAAGTTAACAGATTTGTTTCCAATAAAGTTCAGGCTGATATTTATATACAATAAAAAAAGACTTCTTTTAGCTTTACCTATCCCTTCTCCACAATACACTTTCATAAAGAAACATACAATACAAGACACATCTTGGTCTGATTAGCATGATTTTAATATCTACTCTTGAATTATCATTATTTTCTTATAGATTTCTTCTCTGTAAACAAGATTTTCCAAAATAAAACCACTTACAAGGATATTTTTCATCCTGCTGGTTTTTTAGGTTATAATCATTCTTAACTTTCTGTAACATGCAAGATTTTTTTTTTCCTATGAGGCAGGGCAAATTGAGCCAGATGAGTAAAAGCGGCATAATAACACCATGTGCTAAAACTACATGGGTGTCTGAAACGAGCTTTTGATCCTTGTATCTCCAAGAGGGTGGGTAGAACACATGGGCTTCCACTAGGGACATCATGCAGAGATAAATTCCAGCTCAGTAATTTACCATAAAGCTCAATCAATCATTTGGCCTTCCTAGTTAATATCCTAGGATACTCAAAGCCACAAAGTGAGATTACAGAAGCTTTGGCAGGACTCATGAGTATACCACACTAGCAATCACTCAGCTACTCAGAGGAGGATAGTGAGAGGCTAGCTGTTCTCCTCTGAACTCCATCTTCATCATTAACCAACCACTAGTCCAGGCTCTAGGCATTTAACTGTTCTAATTATGGCCCATCCAAAGCCACCACCTGCTGTATAGATCACACTGTGAGACTCTGGAGAATCACTGACTTGTATATAGAAGAGCTGCCTCAGCTCACTTAAAATTGGTTTCATTTTCTCTACCCCTAAACAGTACAGTTCTGCTCAATATGCACAAAATGCTTAGTGTCCTATGACTACTACTTATAGCGAGAAAAGGTCAAACTGTTTGGGGAGAAAGAAGTATTGACTATTTTTTGCTATTGCTTGAATGTCTTTTTCAGCAGTGTTCACATCTTTTTCCAGGGGAAGTGTGGCCCAACAATTGGAGAGAGAAGCCACTTTCTGTTACTATCTACAACCCAATCCTTGTCTTGATTCCTCCTGCAGCCACTAAAGAATGGAGGCACAAGACTGCCTGAATCTACCCATCTGCCACTCCATTCACATCAAGGCATCTACATCTCTTCCTTATAGCTGGGTACCCAGTCAGTTTCAGGAGGATAATATTGATGAGAACTTACTGTTTTCTTCTTCGGCTTCTTGAGGTAACACTTTGAAATCCAGGAACCATGTCTCAATCCAGGCAAGGATGAATGAAATGATGGGCAGCACATAGCCAAAAGCCCCTTGAGAGAAAAGCTGGAGAACAGACGTGACCACAAAGGAGAAATGTAGTTAAACATGAACTCACACTAGAAAACAAGACTTTGCCACTGTAGGTGGTAACTGTACAGAAAAAGTGGTAGGCCATACCTTTGAAAGGATCACTTTTGCTAATAAAAAGGCACTGGTCACTGCTGTTGTCAACTGCAAAACACATAATCCAGCACCATTCAAATTAGATATTTCACACTGTAACGGCCCCTCCCTCATAAAAGAGACTACTCAAATCAGGAGGGCAAGGCCTAAAAGCCCTATTCAGTCTGGCTCCCTCCTGCATCATTCCATCTCTATCCCCTCTACCCAGACTGGGGCAAATGGGCTTCTACATAGTACACAATCCGTAGATGACTGCTTGGGTTTTCCCTTCTCCCACATTTTAGCAGGCTGTTGTTTTATCCACCAGAAACTATGTTTTATCCAGACCCTCAACCACATAGAAGGAATCGAAGGAACCAGTGAAATGTGTAGGCAGGGCTCTCCCCAGGGGTTGTGAAGCCTAGAGACACCACAGTATCTGAGCCTCATCACTGCATTCTCCAACTAATATTTTTAGCATGGTGAAACTTGATGAAAGTGAATGCTAACAGCAGCATGACTGACAGAATGGAGGCCAGGGAGTATTATCTTTCTCAGTAAGTGTTAACAAAGTTACACACACACACACACACACACACACACACACACACACACACACACACCCATGCATACCTTAGCCAGAGTAATTGCTTGGGAGGGAAGGCATTTTACATTCTGATGCTAATTAACTTTACAGGCCAACACTGAGTGTTTTTTAGGTACCAGCTGACTTCTCCTTTCAGCTTTTAGATTCTCTTTACAAATGGTTTCAAAAACAAGATTCAGAAACAATAAAATAGTTTTTGCCATATCAGACCCATTCTTCAGACAATTTGAAAGCAGATTCTGAAGATACTTTCTTATAAAGCTCATTGACTATCTATATGTAAACTACTTTTCTAAAACAAACATTGAGATAGATAGTCTGGCAAATACTAGCATACATTATGGAGACTATAGAAAACATCCCAAATGGGGATTTGCAGAAAAAATAGGAAGGTACAGTCATCACAGCTACTGCAAGACCAGCAAAAGCGTATTCCAGAAAGGCAGTCAAGTCTGGCCAAGACTGTTAGAGAGCCTCAGGATTAATAGGTGATCTAACCTCAGCCCTGTGATTCTACAAATGCTCAGAAGAGATGGCCCAGGCAGGTGCAGCCCCCTAGTGGACTTAGTAGGATAGTACAACTCCCACTCCCAGACTGACAAACCCAGGCCTGGCCTATATAGACTGAGGTCTGGCCTCAAACCACAGGACTACAGGTTATTTCTGGGCAGTTCTCCCTAGTCTGAGGACCTCAATATTTTCTCCCCATATAATTGTATTATTAGAGTTCTGAAAAAGGTGAGTATTCAGATGTCTGTGGAAATGGCAAAAATAACCCAGACAAAACTGCTCGTAATTTTCCTTTCAATCTCTAAATATTTATTGAGGATACCAAAGCTCTGTGTTAGATGCAAAGAAACAGATGAGTAAAAAGGTCCCTGCTTTCAAGGAGCCCAAGGCAATAACAGAAAGGAGATGGGGAGCTTTTCCTTCCAAGACTGGAGGGAGGGGGAATAAAGCAGGGGAGAAGGTGATTATCTAATTAAGTATAGACCAAGTCATTAAAAAATCACTAAGTAGTTTCAACCAAACAATTAATTTCCCAAATATTTTCATGACAGAAGTACTGCTCTCATCTCTTATTTGCAAAATGAAGTAGAGGCTGGGTTGGTACTGGCCTTCTAGATTCCGCAAGTGGTTCAGCATCCATAGGGACAAAGCTAGTTACTCATTAACACTGGAAAGAAGCCCTGGAGTGTTACGCCTACCCAAGTGCGGAGGAAGGGGGACTCAGGAAAGGCTACTGGAATTCCACCAGGATTAGAAGCACATCTTCTCCCGGGTTAGGCCTGCTTTGAGCAGGTCCTGGCCACCTGCACTGGAGGACAAGACCCACTCATCCAGGGCAACTCACCGCTATTGCCCACCAATGGCGCAGTCTGCATACAGCATATGCAAGTATTAATACTTTAAATCGAAAAACAGCCAAAAGCTGGGGGGAAAAGAAAGAAGAGACATAATTTATAATATATACAAAAATAAAGTAGCTTAGCTTTATGAAGGACTCACTAGACTGCCTTCATTATTCTGATTTAGCTGGACACTGCCACAGACTGGCACTGGTCTACAGATCATCATTTGGAAATCTCTGCTCCAGAACTTGATGCAATGGCAAATAAGGTTTCACATTAATTTACCATTATGAAAAAAAAAGAACAAGGCAAAAAGGGATGACGTTTCCATCATGCTGACATAAATAGATGAGTTTTCCTTTCAGCAATTAGGATTTGTCAATGGGTTGGTTCTACTTTAGCCATTTAAAAGAATAAAGACTCTCCACCAACAAAATGAGAATGGCTCCTTCTGCTGCCTTCCCTACCTGTCATTAATCTTTTATTTCCTTAAGATAATCAGACAATTTCTTAGTAAGAGAGGGAGAGCATTGAATGGGTAGGAAATTAAAGGAAAAGGAAATATAGTCAGTGTTCAAGGGAGGAAAAAAATGTCATAGAATTTGAAATCTATTTAGAAGAAATTTGCCCTTTGGTTTCAGTTTTACCATATTGGAAACGAAGCATAATACAAAAGTACTTACAAATATATCAAAATAAGAAGAGTAGTAATCATATTGTACCACCTCCTTTTCTAATGTGTTCTCAATGCCTCCATTTACCTAGGATTAAGAGTAAGAAACAAAACAAAAAAAAGACTTATGCACAAGAGGAAAACAAGAGTAAAGTTTACTATAGACTTTTCTGCCTATCTTTTTCAAAACACAGATATGTTAAAATACGGAAGAAAAGAACCCTTGTAATTTTTGATAGAAAAAGAATAACCAACACGCCCTGTTTTCTCAATTTTGAATTCATTCATTCAACAGACATAAATGTACAATGAAAAATAATAACCTTTGTAGTTCATATTTTGGCAAACTAAAATGTTAAGTAAGAAAATTATTTTTTCCCTTCCAAGATAATGTCTTCCATCATACAAATGTATATTTTTAAAGAAGGCGATTCACCTTTATCAGACCTCCCTCACTTTTTTATCATTCTCCCCAATATTTGGTGTTAGAAGGCCAAGGGTTCCCTGATATCATGTCAAACATCAATGACAGCAGTTACCATAACACAGAAGAGAAGCATACAAATCCTCTGATTTTTCATTTTTATTTGCTCCTTGTAGTTTGCAATTCTACACGCCTATCAATTTAAATATGTTTCACTAACTTGAATAGATAACAAAATAAGGGACAGACTAAATCTACATTTTATATATGTGATAAAGTTATAGCAAATGATAAAAATCAAACCTAATATGATTAACCTCCTGTCTTCTCCCAATTCTACTGTCAAAATAAAATTTAAATTATCAGGTTCAAAATTCTACAAATTAAATTATGGAGAGTGATTTTTTTTTAAATCAAGTAAGGGGACATATGTTAAGCAGGGCCCCTGGATTAGCCTCATCAGAGGAAACATGATATACAACAGTGTATTCAAGTTTCCAGTCTGGAGACACTCCTGGTGAGGGTCTAAAAAAGGACAAAAGGAAGGGAAATTAACCAGAGGCCTGAATAAGAGAGGGAAAAAGTAATAAGGAATACTTTTGAGTGGTTTTAAATTAGAATTAAAGTTGCCACAAGAAAAAGAGGTATTCTTAGCTTAGAAATCTTTTCATGTATTTGGATTTGTTATGCAAATGAAAGCATGCCATAAACACTCTTCTGTATCTTAAAATCCCTTAAGGAGATTTCTGTGTAATGAGCACAGATTGGCTATAGACCTTTACAAATGAAGAGAATTGAAAACCTGGGAGCAAGGAGAAATAATTATTATAAGCCAACCAACCATACAGTCTTATCTCTGTGTCTCTCTAGACTAAGAAAACTTACCAATAATCAGAATATTAAAAGAATAATTCCTCCAAGTGGCCTATGGCAAGGAGGCATCCTTTACTAAACAGAGACATCCCCCTCCTTCCATTCCTGAAACCAGGGGTCAAAGCTGCCAATATAGTTTTACAATAAACAACCTGTAGAAAAAGCTTTTTCTGGTATTGGCATACTTTAAAAGACCCTGATTCTGCGTTGCCTTTACACAGAGATATCTAAAATTTACATCTCCAGCCCTAATTTTATTCTACATCCTTATTTCAAAATCTTTGTCTCTAGCTCAAGATATCTTAAATTGACTGAGAATCTTTAGTTTCACACAAAATCCCTTCTCTATCACATTTCTTTCTGATACTATTCTTCTAGATTTAATCATTATCACTCTACAAAAAAGATACCTGCACACACATGGTTATTGTAGCACTATTCACAATAGCAAAAACATGGAACCAACCGTGCTGCCCATTGAAACCGGACTGGAAAAAAAAAAAAGTGGTACATATACACAATGGAATATTATGCAGCCATAAAGAACAAAATTGGACTTTGCAGCAACTTGGATGGATTTGGAGTCTACCATACTCAGTGATCTATCACAGAAAAAAAGAACTGAGTACTACATGTTCTCACTTATAAGCAGACCCTGAAAATTTACCATAATACAATAAGAAAGGGATTGACAGTAGTGGGACATTGCCAGGAAGGGGGGAGAACATAATATCAATAAGGGTACCTGATCTCAAACCAGGTGAAATGGGGACCAAAGGGAGGCCCAAATTTTACCTGTATGATAACAACTTGTTTACCTAACTCTGAATTGTACCCTATATCTTTAAAATAAAAAATCTTAGAGTCATCTTTGAGTAAATGATAGCCTACCAACAGGTCTTCTGATAATTCTTGCTTTAGTATATCTCTCAGGTTAGCTTTTTCCTTTCTATTCCTACCACCTCTGCACTTTCTGAAAAAGGCTACGGAATAAATATTTTTTGCCTTTGTAGACCACAGGGTCTCTGTCACAAATATTCAACTCAACTATTCAGTACAAAAGCCAGCCATAAATAATACGGAATAAGATAGGTATGGCTGTGTTCCAACAAAACTTTGTTAAAACAGGTCAGTTGCAATTGTTCCACAGCCAGTAGCTTGCTAACTCCTGTAATAGAGCAAAACACCAGGAATTCAAATTTCAAAATCCCAAAGTGAATTTTAAATTGACCAAGTCTGTCTTAAACAATAACACTAGGGAACAAGAAAAGTCCAAATCAGCTAGAGAAGAGCAATGTTGCCCCCTCTGGCAAACGATGGAAATCACTAAATGAGACAAATGAGAAATTTAAAAAGTTGGTTTTTGTCTCTGGAAAAATTTCTTATAAAGTCTTATATTAAAAGTCTTATGTAAGTCTTATAAAGTCATTAAAAAATCTAACTTACATTTAACTCTATTATCCACAGTAATGTTACAAATAAGAGGTCAAAGGTGACAAACAAACAGAAAGTCCTCCTGACATCAGATATGCCTTTCTTTTCCCTTCCTTCGTAGGACTCAATCCTGGCCATGAGTTGTGCAGGGTTGATGGAATGGATGTCGCGCAGAGAAGCATGGGAGCTCTGGCTCCCCGTGAGAGCATTTTCCATGTCTTCTGGCAGCTGGTTCATCCTGGAGGAGGGTTAAAGGAGCCTTTTTCCAACTTCACCATCCCTAAAAAGAAGAGATCTTTGGGGAATAAAAGAGAGAGATCGTGTTAAATCCGAGCTTACCTAATATGACTGTGCTACCCTCTCCATTGTGCCACTGTTCCTCTAACTGAGCAATAGTGTCTTTACTGATTTATGTCTTGATGAAGGCATAAAGGGAAAGTGACATGAGAAAGTTAATGTTTTCAACTAATACTACAAAATAGTAGTTATAGAAAGAATGACAATAAAGAGAGATGCAAACTGACAGTAGGAAAGGGTGAAGACAGGATGTTAAACACAACTAAAAAGCATTCCTGATAACCTAGAGCAAGCCTGTTGGTGAATGAACCACACCAGTTCTCCTGCTGTCCCAAGGAGAAAACCTCCACAGTCCTATAAGTGCCCTTATACGTGGACTAGAAAATAATTTACTGAATGATTTCCTGGAGCTTATGAGTAAAACGTGCAAACTAGCTATAAAACTTTATTTCCTAAAAAGGAATTGCTTTCCACCAAAAGTACCTAATAAACTAAATTTAGCATTTCCCCATTCTTTTAAGCCTGTTTCTGGTTCTCTTCTTGGAGAGGACTACACATGCTCCAAAAAGTTCAGCACTGCAACCACCCAATCAATAATCACAAAAGTTATAGCACTATATAGGGGTGCATGTTCCTTAAGCTCAGGAAATGCTTAGATGAGTAATCTAAATAATCTGATCTACTCATGGATGGGGCAAAGTTATTAAACAGAAAGTGAACTAGACAGCATGATTTTGTCAAATATCTCAGCTTCTCTTCCTGTAGTACCCCTCCCTGTAGGATTATATTCCCTGGATCTACTGAACTCATGTCCTTTCTTTGATTATGAATGATGTGGGCAGAAGTGTGTGCATCATTTGTATCTAGAAGTGTTAAGAGTCAGTGCAGTGCATGGCTCTCCTTTCTTTCTGCCACAATGACTAGCAATGTACAGATAAAGAAAAGCATTTTCAAAGTTGTAAAAGAGAAAGGGTGAAGACAGGATGTTAAACATGACTAAAAGGCATTCCTGATAACCTGGAGCAAGCCTGCTGAAATTTCCCTAATAGAGTCCCTATTTGGTCTTATTCACTGTCCAAAACTTTTGTCTATTTACACTTGACCCGTATTTCTCTTCCTTCTCACATTTAAACAAAAGTCCTACCCATAGTTTTATACAATGTGGTGCTAAAATGGCATGACAATTTTAAAGTTGATTTGATTACCCAGAATAAGATACTTTAAAACATTCATACTATTTAATCTTATATCTCTACTTCTGAAATCTAAAGGAAATTAAAGTATAGACCTTCAAAGCAAACATTGATCTACTGCGTTAAGGTCAGGTTAGTGATTAACTTCAAGAAAGAGGGAGAGAACGGTCATTAAAGGACACAAGGTGCTCTTCAGGGACTTGGTGAAGTTCTATTTTTGACCTGGTCACTACCAGGTCATGTTACCACTTAACATGGCTGTGTGCACTTACTAATAATGTAGTGATATAGATAGTAGTTTCAGTGGTGTACTGACTTGTGAAAAATTCAAAATGCTATACATTTATATACACACACACATAAATCAATAGTGTATGTGTTACCTTTCAATAAAAATTCTTATTAATAGGACTTTGTTATAATATATTTATAATAATTTCAATTAGAAAGCATCCTAAATATCTAGTAGTAAAGGAATAATTGGATAATCATGGTTTAGTCATTAAAATGCTTCTGAAGCATTTATAATGACTTAGAAAAATGCTTGGGTTATAATGCTAATTAAAGTAAAAATCTAATATTACATGGAATACACACACACACACACACACACACACACACACACACACACACACAGTATGTTCACAACTGTAAAATGAATCTAAACCAAATTCTTACAAGACTCTACCTACGATATATATAAGATGTCAGCAATGATCACCTCTGGATGATAAGATTATATTTTCCCCTCCTTTTACTTTTCCACATTTTTCAAATTTCTCATTTTGCACTTTTTATATTTACAATAGGAGGAACTAAATTCAAATGTTAAATTTTTAGAGGGTCTGGGCAGATATTCCCAAGACTCTATGCAGCTCCTCCCTTTCTCTTCTGCAGATCTAGGTGGCATTAGGTAAGGGTGTCTGGTGTCTTGGTCATTCAATTTGCTTCCTTAGAGTTTGCAAATCACCCAAGCATCTTGAAAAGTCAGCTGGAGTCCACTTCAGTGTTTTGTAAAAGGAAATATAAAGTTCCAAAACCTGAAGGTATCTTTACACGATTTCTGTTTCAATGAGATCAATATCACTCTAGTAGAAGAAATGTCAATTGCACATTCTCTAGTACAGCAGGCCTTGAAGCAAAGTTTGCAAAGCACTACAATTACCTGCCAGACTTCTAGGAGTTAATTCTGAAACAGTAAGTACAAATGAATGTAAATAAGTTTTTTCTGTGTGTGATGAGACACACTCTTTAAGCTTTAAAAGAGTGACTGAGATATTGTCTAAAACTCGACCTGGATGAATGAATACAGACTCATTTCTGCAACATTAAATTCTGTACTAAGAAAAAGGAATCTAGATAATTCTTAAGCCAGTCTAACAATCTATTAGCAATTGCATTTAAAAATTAAATTCTTAAGTTCCCTAAGTTGTACAGAAAATTCAACAAATTCAAACAAACTGAGTACTGTTTTTAGGAGTAATCAGATCATTTTCTTAGTCTCACTCCTTCTTCCAATCACAAACCAACTCCTCATTAATAAAAAAGGACAACAGAGAAAAAAATATCAATCCTAGAAATCTGAGGATTGATATTTCAAAATTTAAAATGTCATTTTACAATCATTGCCTTGCTAGGCTATGGTCTGGCCTTGTGTTTTTTGAGCTACGGTCAGGCCATGTTTTCCTAAGCTTTGGCCCCCTACCCTGTCTTGGGGAGGTGAATCTCCTCTCTCTCATTTACTTTCTAAATAAACTATATTTTCCAACCTAAAAATAAATAAATAAGTAAATACAAAATAAATGTCATTTTACAATGGTATATATGTAACCTGGGAAATAAGAATCATTACATTACTTTTCAAATGTGTGTGTATTTTTCAGATGTGTGCTAATTAGCTAGCATTTATAGAGACTTGCAATAGCTTCAATAGTTACCCAAAAGCACTGAATGCTTCAAGCAGCTTGACTCTAATCAAATTCATCTTTTTCTGGGAAAGAAGGAGATTATAAGAGAAAGAGAGAAAGATTTTCCTTTAAAAAAACAAAACAAAACTACAAGGGATTGGCAGTAGAGGGATACTGCCCAGGTAGGGGTGGAGACCCAACATCAATAAGGATATCTGACCTCAAACCAGTGTGGACCAAAGGGAGGCCCAAACTTTACCTGCACGATGTCTATTTGTATGCCTAATCCTGAATTGCACCCAGCATCTTTAAAATAAAATTTTAAAAATAATAATAAACAGTGAAAAAACAAAATGATCCTGAAGATTCAGGTAAATAATATAGTCCTGAAAAAAAATACATACTCAATTCAGTAAACTGGACTAGATGTAATAAGTGACATTGTAGATCTTTTAGGATATGAAGAAACATAGCTCAGACTTCTAGAATAAATTTTTTAGTACATATTTACTAAAAACAGGAAAATAAGAATGCTTAGTTTGAGGAACTCATGCTAGAAACACACTAATCAAACTTACAAACACTTGGTCATCTTCCTCCTCTATCTCCCTTTCTGCTAGTAAAATTGACCAACAGTCACATATAGCTTTTTGCAGTTCACAACGGTAGGTAAACAGATTTGACAGTCTTTACTCCCCTCCAAAAACAATTACCCTCCAGTTATGGCTTCTTTGGAGGATCTGTAGGGAATTGTGAGCAAGTGGGAGGAAAGAAAGAGCTCAAGAACTGTTTTTAATCCCATAAAGCAGACTGTGAACTGTAAAATTTGGGAAGTACTATTCAAAAATACTAAGGAAATATCAGCTAATTTTTGTTCTACAGAAAACTCAGTTTCTGCATTACTGGCCCTTATAATAAATCTCAACTTAGTTGGTTTTTTTTTCTGTGACTCATTACATTATGATAGACTTGAGCTAAAGATACTTTCTAAATACAAGTGTATTTGACTTAATATAATAGATATATTTATGCTAAAATGTCTAAACACAGAATACTTTACTCTGAATTCCTTAAAACAAATACAGGATAAATAAATGAGTATAAAACTTCAGTGAAGCAGAGAAACATGAGGAGTGTTGTACTGGCTTCTTGATGAGCCTTGAATGGACACAGCAAATCAATGGCAGGCAAGTCCATACAGCCAGGTGAGACATCTCCAGATAAACAAAATGGAGAAACAATGCCTCCGTGGAGCCCCTTGGAAGGATAGAGTCGCTGGTTTCTTCCTGTTGCCTATTTTCATCTGTCAAATTTCTCCTGACATTAGGTTAACTCTACTGCCTTTCTGGTTGCTTCATCTGGCTAAGGTAGTCTCTCTCAAAGCCAGATCACACATTCCTGGGCATGGCAGTTCACTCAAGTCTCAATGAAAGACACAAAATCTTTGGGTGTGAGACTGGCTGGCCTAGGCAGTGGAGTAGTACAGACTGGAGAAGAGCCACTTGCCCAGCAAAGCCAGCATCTGAAGGTTCTTGAGACAAAGGAGTCTGAGAAAGTGCATAAACTGTGTCATGGAATTTTCACATGCAATAAAGGAATGGATTTTTGGTGTGTATCTGCACCAGTATCACGTGCAGATATTGGTTAAATTCCAGATACCCAGACCATGTGATTCTGACACTTACTGAAGTAGAGAACTTCCTTTTAATATATAAAGAGAAAGACTTTTGACTCTATGATTGCCAGACTTCATCTTGTGAACTTCAGAAAGATTCAGTACAGGTGACAGTTCCTTCAGGAAGACTTCCCTGAAAGCTTCCCATTCCACTCTTCAGGCAGAGTTAAATGCATCTTCCCCAAAACTTTAAATGTAACTCCTATGGTACTGCTAACCACAC